CGCTGCAAGAAATTCCTTCGCATCGGCCCAGTCCATCTTCCGAGGGCCTCTTCTGGCCGCATTCAGGGCCGCCTTCGCCCGGCCCTTGAGGAGGGTCTTCAGCGCCGCCAACTTATCCCGGTCGGTCTCCAGCCCGGCAGCCTCCGCAACCTCCACGAAATCCTCCAAAAAGGGCAGAACATGCGTATCCTCGGAGGTCTGCGGGCACGGGATCTTCATCCTTATCCTGGTCACGGCACCAAACGAAAGGTAGAAGGTCTTCGCCGCAGAGTTATTTACTACGAAATGTCAACTGATCGGTTACAGACCATAGAACAGGGAAGCAAAACTCCCATTTGCATCTTTTTACAAAAGCTGGAGACCCATCTTCTTCTGAACGCGCCTTCTTGAACCTTCCTGGAGATCCACTGATTTCAATCATTTATCGCTCATATCCAAGCAAAGGTTACAAACTGACTTCTCGAAACCCGCAACGGATATCCCCTTTTCAAAAGATGCAAAGCAAAAACCAACAAAATTCACATTCTGTGAAGCCTGTTTTGAGCGAAGCTCAAACTGAGAACCACAAAGTAATTTGTAGATAGTAGACGGAACTTAATTTCCAGCATATTAGCCGAACGATATTGATTTGCTACCCTGCTTTAAAAATTAAACGACGTGCTTTAACTGACCTGTTACAAGTTTACCGGATACCTCGTTGAAACCCAAGTACAGTGGTCATAGAAAATGGGCATGCTGCCCCATTAGTAACAACAAGGCTTGCAAGGCATACGTTTGTCGGTAGTGCCCCGAAGTTGAGCCTGTTGGTCTCTTGAGACATGAGGTAACGTTCATTGATGAAGTATTGATAGAGCGCTCACGATGCACGTCAGGTGTCGGCAGTATAACGTCCCGCAAGACGAGGGATGCGTAATGTCAACGAGCCGTGAAAAGAGTGCAGCTCGCATCTAGTACCCCCTCCCCTCGCTTCAATATGGTTTTCGAGGGAACTTGTGTATCAGCAAACTATAATACAATATGCAAATGCGAGTTCGCCAAAGGATAAGTCCAATAAATACCTGGAGCCCTACCAAAATATTAGTAGCTTGGGCGAGTTCATTTGGGGTCGATCCGTTCTCCGAGCGTGCGCATTGGCTCGAGAACGTTTCTTCAGTAATCGAAGCTGATGTCACCTCTATTGGTGACGTAAAGTTTGTAAGCTGCTTGCCAAGCTCGGTGAATATATCAACTGTACGTCATCAATAAACACCTGAAGTAGTTATGGTGTGACGACGTGGAACTGTCGCTGTCCGTCCACAGACAGGAGTACACGTACTGCAGTTTATATGCGACCCTCAAGAACTGCCAGTCAACGTTACCGCGGAACGTCTCTGATGCTGACGATGGCTATATTCTCAAAAAGAGACAGGATCCCTTCCGACAACTACAGCGAGATTGCTCTGTGTTTAGAGCGCGTAGGGGTAGTATCCCAGCTTTTGTGGATCCTTCAGGTGGCATTGCATCTAGGCAACGAAAGGGTGTTGAAGCTAATTGATTATCTTGCTTTATCTTATAGACAGGTGAGACGGTATAGGCACTCACACGATCCTTGTGAAAGGAAGAAGGCCTTCGCTGTGGAGTTATTCAACTGGAAATGCTAACTGACCGGTTATAGACCATTGGACAGGGAAGCAAAACCCTCATTTGCACCTAATTTATAAAAACTGGGGAATCATTGACTTAAATCACTCATCGCTCAAATCCAAGCAAATGTTACAAAGTAACTTCACGAATTCCGCAACAGATATCTCCTTTTCAAAAGACGCAAAGCGAAATTCCACCAACAACACATATTACTCGCGTGTATGCTCATCAATAGTATCACCGTTACACCCGGTGCACCTGGGTGGGGACCCTGCAAGATATGGCTGCCAACCGACGACAGTGACGTTCTTGTTGTCTGTTTCTATCCAGGTTGCCTGAGTGGATATCTGGAGGTGTAGGCACCTCTAGCTAGCTCTGAGTCCAAAACATTTATTTTTTCTTTACAATAAAGCCTTCAAATAAATCATGGTTTTACGGCAGTGTAGCACCAGTGTTGGACATTGCTTTCATGCTCTCGGTGATGACGATAGGGGCCCTCATCTGAAGATTCTTCGGCATACGGTTGTCTTCAGTGTGCCAATCAGGATAACGACAATAGTTGAAATTTGGTTGCTGGGATGGTGTTGACTTTACTAGCTCCAACCCTTGATGAATAGCAAAAAAGCTAGTTATGCTAACTGGCACCTTTTTGTCAAGCTTCATCTTTGGAAGTGTCCAAGTCTGGGGATTCTTGGAGGAGCAGCATCAGGAACACTCTATCACAACTAATTTGGGTTAGTTGGAAAAGTTGACCGATCGTTGTGAGTACGTTAACAAGCATATTGTTGATAGAGAAGATTAAGAACGGCGTAGAATAGCCTTGCACTTTAAATATACCCGGCTAGTAAAGGCGGTGATACTCCAAATGAAAATGATAAAGCGGAAGTTTTAAACGCAATTTAGCGAAGAAGTTTTATTAAAGCATTGCAAAACATTACGGTGGCTGATTGGCCTTGAGTACTAGCCCGAATATATTCCGAAAAGTTGGTTGGATCAACTACTGAAACGGACAAACAAAGCATCACTCGAAACTCGTCCGTTTTCTTACCACAAAATTTGTTTTTCTGATGCATAGAATCATTATGTTCGGTGTTTCGCTCTCACGCAACAGAAAATGCTGTGTCCTACCCAAGTGAATGATCGCAAAACCTCAGATAGAATACACAGGATCGGGCATTCTGAAAATTTTTTAAACCATGCTCAGGATAGAGGTTCCACTCCACACAAGCACCCACGAAATCAACATGATGACCCACATCGAAGATGTGCGATTAGATAACATGGTATATATTGGATTACCGTACCGTGCAATCAAGCACAAGCAGGTATTCCAGTCCCCTCGTATTTCAGACTAGGCTTCTTATATTCGAAGCTACGACACTAATGAGACATGTTATAGAAGTTGGTGAAGAACTGGAAGTCAAATTTTCACAGATGTTCTTTGTTTGGTTTCCAAAGAGAAGCAAATCACAGAGCTCGTTATTCATCATGCTCTCTTGTTTGGTAGTGAAGATCGCCAGAAGATGCGGAATGGGTAAATTTCTATCGTGGTTTACCAGGACTCCTTTCCCACAGTTTGCAAAACGCCTACGTATATAATCCTGGTAGTGAAGAAATGCAGATATTGTTGAAGCAACGCCCTCTCATACGGTCATGTGTTACTTTAGCGGCGCTTGTCTCCTAATAATACCCGCTAAATTCACGACCTGCATTTGGCAAGCAGGTATTCTTTATTATTTGGATGTCGGCAAGTTTGTATAAATCACTAGCTGTATCCTCATTCTGTTTAGGCCTGAATTCTCCATATCAATGGGTTATTGTCGACCGTCATTGGTTGCAGACCAATTGACTTTTGCACACCCACAACAAAAGTACGTTTTTAAAGGAGGCCAATTTTTTGCTGTCATGATCGGCTATCATTTTAAAGGTTCATCACCACAAAGACGACGGTATTTTAACCAAAGTTAATATTTCATCCTTGTTTATATGCTCCCATTTCCACCTGAGACAAAAGCAACATTTTTTCTTCGATTTCTCGTCTATTCGTCCCTCCATAGAATACTGCAGACTTGGGTGACCCTCTTGGCTAGAACACGAGGCTGGATAGTTCAGCGGCAGGGGTGCGTTGAATAAAATGCCTCCAACGGGACCTAAAAACTGCCTTGTCCGAAAAGTTTGGCGCTGCGTGAGAATAATAAACGCATCTATTTACACAGTCTAAGTTGTGAGAAATATATCTGTACGTGATATATATGTGAAATGATGCTGCACAAATCTACCACATCAAGCAAAACTACTTGTAACTCAAAGGATAAGGGAACATCCTGAGGAAAGTCACATTAACCGAATGCTTCGATTGCGGCAGAATGTCGATTCTGAGGGCAAATAAACACCTGATAAAAAATCACCAGGAAACGTTTGACGGAGGACCACATAGGGCATACCACATCCATAAATTATTCAGCCCAGGGGGTTCTTCCACACAAACCTATTTTCTCTTAGGCAAGCTAATGTATCCCTTTTGGATGTGTCGTGTCTTCCAGACCCAATCTCAAGGTGGCTTAATCACTGCCTTTCTTAATCTCCAACTGATAGCAACGCATTTAGGCGTCCATTCAGCGGTTTGCATCATCTTCAAGCCTAAATATCCCCTCTCTGCAGCGGTTACAACCTTAAAAAAGTTTCCTGCGTCCACCGTCAGTGGACCTAAAGGACCGACTCTTAAATTTGTCCTCTCTCTATCGAGCTAGCTCCATTTTCACGTCACTAAAAATTGAATACTGCCTCTTCTATTGGTGACTGACATCCTTATTTCCAAACAACGTACGTGGTACAAATGTATGTAAAATATTACTCACAGTCCAGGGAGTATTTATGCGTAAAGCTTTAGGTCTGCCCTGGCAATCCCGCATACCACCACTGATAGCAGTGGCTAAGCCAGTTACTCCTTTTATCCATTATACAAATTTAAGCACAGACATGATTTCTGATTACTGGAAATCATGAGCCTTTCGCTCACTGCACGGGTATATGACTATTGTGCTTATTGACCTTGCCCATTTTGTTTAAATCGGTAGTTGGCGTTAAGGGTAGGGATGTTCGGTTGCCCATATTTTTCTGTTTTTACGGGTTCGCGCCCAGCCCGGTCAATCCGTGACTTTAAATTGGACCAGATATAGATACCAAGCATCACTCGTTTGGAATTTATCAGCATACGACCCAAGTGGATCTAGTTTTCACCTACTTCTCACTCAAGAAAATTCTGGTGTCTGAAGCGATGGAATTTTTTTTTCTTGTTCAGGAAGCTCGATAATGACTCCTCTTCGGCCGCCCACAGCTACAAGTGCCGAGAATCTACGTCCTAGGAGTGACGCTAAATGGAGGCAGAGGAAGACAATGTGAAGAAGTCATTGTACAAGACACCGGAGAGGGCCAATCAAAGTGGCCGTGAGTTAACTCACTGAATTCCATTCTCACTGCCAGGCACCAGAACGACGGAACCAGGATTCAGAGGCACTGTTTGCGTTGCTTGCGGGAAGTGGCCCCTCGTTGCATGCTCCATCACCCAGCTGGCGAGTCTCGAGATCATATGGTCTGGCTTCTCCACTCGTCTAACGTCAGCACCAACTATGCAATACAACTCTCTGTTGAGAGACATGATGCCGTTCAGATGGATCACCCCTTTCGTGCCTCGGTTGTGCAATGCCAACCGAGATGCAGAGGTCGGGTTCGAACCATGGACCTTCCGGTCAGTAAATCCGCGCGCTAATCACGGAGCCAGCTTGCCCCCATGGGACATGATGTGGGGTTCTGTGATTTTTCAACAAAACAGGATCCCAGTCTCAGGCATTCAGGCCACGTAAACGAGCACTGGTCTCATGCACCCGGATTTATTGCGACACCCACCCCCACAACATCTACCGTACCTCAAGGCTCAGAACACCGGGCTGCGGCCAATAATGGTGGGAGTACATGCTAGCTAAACACCTACTCCATCGTTCTCGAAGCACAAATCTTCTTAGTTAATGAATTTTTTTCACGAGCATTTGCTCCAACGTACCGGCCCCTAAATTCACCGAATGCGGAGTGCAGTGGGAGTAATTTTGTCAACTTTAGTACCAGACGTACACCGCCAAACAGGCTCGTTTGAAGACCTGTCTTATCACTCACTTGTTTTTGAGCAATGAGCCATGTCTCTGTTTGTCGCAATTTCTGGCCGTTGACAGAAACATGATACATGAAATGAAGTTGGTGTGTTGAGGATGATTTAATTCATGGACGCCACCGGGCCCGTGGTTTAACCATGTCAGCGAGGGTCTCCAGCTACGGATTTGGTGAATGCTCGGCCCCCAATCCTGGTGGACAGCATAACCAAGCGTGACTAAAATCATGAGTCTGGACTTTGGACCTTATTTTCCATGTGATAGCCTCTTTGACTGCTGCAATCTTCCATCTCATCTCCGATCACGCACACGCAGCCCAATCCACCAGATGGTTTTCAGGCATTTATAGCTGGTCTTGTTCACCGAACCTTAAGCGCGCGTTCACAGACGATTTGTCAGATACGTTTTTCGGAGACAACACTTTAAAAGAAAGGGAAACTAGGTTCTCATCAAGGAATGTCCATTGATGATAATCGTTCAGCTGTAGCGCCCTTTTGGTGTCTAGCTACCATGCCACCCGAATGAAGCACGAGGGCTGGGATACTACCAGGTTTCTCAAGCCTAGACAGGAGAAGTCAAGAGGCAGAGGTCGGGTTCGAACCTCGGACTTCCGCTCAGTAAAATCGTGCTCTAACCACTGAGGCATCTCGCCCTACTGCCCAATTTGGGAGAAGGTGCGGACGTCGCAGGCTGCAATGTGGATTAGATCTATGATCGGGGTCCTCGACCAAAGCTTTTGACCCAAAGGACTGACCGCAAGGCAGCGGTAGTTGGCGGGAAATATCGGTGCACGGCACTTAAAAAAGTCACCACTTATATTCCAACTCCCTACCTGTAGGACGAGGAGACTGTTGGTCAAACCTCTAACCATTGACCAACCCGATATGGGAGGCTGAGAGTCGCACGTGTATTGTACCATGTATTGCATATGCCGAACCATCGTTTGCGGAAGAGCATGTTGTTTTCCGTGCTCAATTCAGAGAGGTGGCCAACCCTTGACCTAGAAGATGGGTGTGAGAAAGATTCCGATAAAACTCGGACCAACTCACCTTCCAGGATGGAAACCGCGTGATTCCCGCTGGACCTGGTTGAAGACGCTACAAGATATAGCTGCCAATCGATGTCATTGGTGTTCTTATTGTCACTTGCTACCCAGACTGCTGGAATGTGTGCTTTTAAGGTGTGGCCATCTCAAGATGTTTGTGGCAAACTGGCTCTAGTTCCATACCCTGTCCACTTTTACTATTTTTCACATTCGTGGTTGTGCAGCAGCGATGCATCAGTGTTAAACACATGCTATGCTGTCATCATCATCATTACCAGCTGTGAGAACCGCATACTTGTACAGCGGTTGTGGCTGTCACAGTTTCGTCCACCGATGATTTGGCGAGGTGGGGTAAATAGCTGCTCATCCTGCCGGGAACTGATAAATTGGTGTGAGTCCATTGTTGTTAAGGGACCTTTAAGTAGGGGGGTTGGGAAGGGTGCAATGGATTGAAGGGAATAGCTTGGATGCACAAGCGCCATTGAGGGCGCGACTGGGCCGTTGTTATATCCCTTTGATATTATATCAGTCAGACACGTTAGCTCGCCGGAATTGAGAAGACAAACAAACTTCGAGGAAGTTATACTGCAAACAAGTGCATCGTTCCGTGGTATGGAAGTTAACTGGACCAGAATATAAAAAGAGCTAACAGTCCAATAGGATGTCAGTGAGAGGCTGAAATGTTGAAACAAGGTTTCAGTATACAAGACAAATCGTTATCAAAATGGCTTTGTTCGTTTGGAGGTAGTCTTCCTAACAGCCATGTCTGACAAGGTCTCCAACCATTCATGTGTCCTGTCCCGGGGCCACATTCAGGGAAACGACAATGACCAGTACAGCTGATTTTGCTGGTGGTAGCTCTAATGCTTCGCTACCAAGTCATTAGTTCACCTCTCCTGGCTCGTTTCCACCTTTCGTTCAGCCGTAGCACCCTTCCGGTGCGTAGCTGCCATGCCACCCGAAGGAAGCACGAGGGCTGGATACTTCCGGGTTGCCCAAGCCCACATAGGAGAAGTCGAGATGCAGAGGTCAGTAAATATGCTCAAACCACGGATTTCCGGTCAGTAAATCTGCGCTCTAACCACTTGGGCCATCTCGCCCTTTCGAGAGGCGAGATGGATTACGGGGACTCCCGCCTCTCCATAAACATTGTCATCATCAAAATCGACCAAAGCTGCCATCTTGACGTGGCCGTCCGGCTTGGGTGTTGCAATGATCCCGTGGCTACGCTGGCTGGAACTTTGTTCCACAGGGTGCAACCATGCGAGGAAGGCAAAAGGGGAGCTGTCAAACCAAGAGCAGCGAGACCTCGTACTACGAGTAATCGCGCTACGAGGCAGTCTGGCGTTTAAGTGTTACTGTCCTCTGTTATAGGAATATGAAAAGGTAGTAGGGTGTTTTCCTTCAGGCGACCAGCATGTCCATATTCATGGAGGCAGAAATGCTGCGTTCCCCCATGGAAGGATGGGTTTGAAAAAGTAGGTCCCAAAACCCCCCTCTGATCGCCAACGGTTGACCGTGACCACCGGCGCATTATTCAATACGATCGAAATACTTATAAACCCAAAATGTTTGGCGCTGCTCAAGAGGCTCCTGCAGTGCGCAGCCGCGTCAAGAGTGAGACGTTAGTGCCTTACTCCCTGTACCCTCGCTCCCTGCCCTCGGGTTCATACTTATAAACCCAAAATGTTTGGCGCTGCTCAAGAGGCTCCTGCAGTGCGCAGCCGCGTCAAGAGTGAGACGTTAGTGCCTTACTCCCTGTACCCTCGCTCCCTGCCCTCGGGTTCCACCCCCCTGCAGCCGAGCAGGTCACACTATTGAGTCATCGGTTCAGGGCAGGACCGCCTGCCTCGCAGATCAAGTGTTCTAGTCAGAGGCTAAGGGCGAGGTTACCGAACGAAACCCTACATCCTCTCACTGCCTGTCAGACTTTTGAATCAAAGGCTCAAGGTAGTCGTACGTCATCTGTCAGTCTGGCAATGTTCCGGAAGCCATTGAAGGATAAAGACGTGATTTGTGCATCCACCGCCTTGGATTTCATCGTTTAGCAGAATGATCCCCGCGGAAACCTTTATACAGCAATCACGATTGGTTTCTGCACCCAATCTCAGTACCTTCTTGACAATAGAAGCAAGAGTTGAAGGCTGTCCTTTCTTCCAGATCTGCCACTTCCTCATACCGTGCATCAGACTGGTATCCTTGTACTTCTCCGGGGTGAGATTGCTCAAGTGGTTAGAGCACGAATTTACTGACCGGAAGGTCCTTGGTTCGAACCCGACCTCCGTCTATCGACTTTTTCTGTCTAGGCTTGGGCAACCTGGCATTATCTCAGCCCTCGTGCTTCCTCAGGGTGGCATGACAGCTGGGCACCGAAAGGGTGTTACAGCCGAACGACTTGTACTCCTCCGCCATCCTTGAACGCGGCCGGCGATGAACGAAGTCTTTTGCTTCTCTTGGATTGTTCAGACTCTTGATGGACTTCTTCAGAGGGAATTGAGCAGGTGACCTTCCACTTCATACAAACCGTTCACATCAGCGGTGTTGCTGAGACTGGAAGCTGACTGGTGATTTTCAAGTTGTCCTATCCAATCTTTTAGACCATAGCCTTGTCAGCGCATAAATGATCTATCTTTTTGTCGGATGACTCCACTTAGGGCATTGCAGGTTTAAGAGACCTGGCCTCTTCGGGTAAATGATTTAAGGCGTTTTCAGGTTCCTTACCACCAATACGGTGGCTCCGTCTTGTGCTACGCATGAAACAGTCCACTGAGGCGATTGTTGCTCTTCGTATCTCCGTCAGAATGGCTCCGGCTTCAGGATGGGATCCCGGTAACCCCCTCTGTTTTTGGCTGGAGACATTGCAACAAATGGCGGCCGATCGATGTCAGTGGTGTCAGTTTTTTCCAGGTTGGTTATTTTAGCGCTTGGAGTGTAGACTCCTCAAAATGCTCGTGACATGCTAGCACAAGGCGTCTCTGATCCTCTTGTTTTCTTCGTTTGATTTCATGTAAATAAATAAATAAATAATAAATTAATAAATATAATTACAAACTTTATGGTCGTGCGATGGTGAAGCACCAGTGTTGGCACTAATGATGATGAGGACGGTTGACTTCTCTGCATCGGGCTTCCAAATGAGTCGAAATGGAGTGCGGCTGTTTCTGATAACATGCCTTTCCATTCCTTGGGCTTTTCAGGCCCACCACTTTACGACTGTTTCTGAAGCTCCGAGGCAATCGGTTTCAAACTTCGTATAGCGCCATACTGTCGTTCTGATGTGAGGTAGAGACCCATCAACCGTTCTGTAGTGGGAGTCGATGACTTAGTTAATCGATTATTGATCCGTTGAGGAGAATGAGAAGACTTCGCCTAAGGATAGGCTTTATTCAACATATAAGCACAGTATAGGCTGAAATGACAAGTGAAAGTGAATTAATGGAGATAGCAGTAAAGCGTAACTTTCACTACACGTTCATGTGCGGTAAATTACCGGCCAGACAGACTGGAAAGCTGTGATCATCGTAACTCGAATGTTTTCCAAATCGCCACTTGGTTCTGTCGGAATTACTGTTGAAGACACCTCAGATAATTTACTTCTATGATCAGGCTTTTGCTCACTGTCGGGAAACAAACGATGGCATGTGGGGGAAGTTGCACCAAAGTGTGTTTGCAGTCCGTGTGAGTGTTTCAGGGAAAACCTCACTCTTGAGATCATGACCGCCGTCGATAGCTGGTAGCAGCACTCCAACTGCTCTCAGAGTTGTTTGTGGTCCGGAGGACATCGGTTACCAAGCAGAGCATGGTTTGCGCATAACTCAATGAATTGATCACTAGCGTTCATTATTGGGGCGGAAACAGCAAATCTATCTCTTAGGTAGTGCTCAGGTCACAAAGTTGTCTGATTCTATTCTTGTCACCGAAAAGAACTGTGATATCCGTGCTTCTTCCTCGAGCGGTGAAAGGTTCGTCTGCGAACCCCTTGCCAATATCCGTCATCATCATCGATAATGGTAAGTGCTGATGCGTAACGGCCGTACAAGTATAAGAATGCGCTAACAAAGAACGGAAGACTGAGGACCTGATACGGACGTGGGAAACGAACAAGAACGAGATTTTTACATCTTGGAACATCGTCATTTCAGAATAAGGCACAGTCAGGAGATCGACCCAACGTGATTCGCGAACCTCTTCCAATACGTACCAAGTTCACGACATACGATAGCTTGGCGGTATGACTAGGAAGTGACAATAGGCTCACCATATTTTACGAACTTTGTAACCACGTGCAGGGCAATCACGGGAATCCCAACTAGCAGTGGAAAGATCCCACGTTGCTCACTTTAACAATAGCCGTCATCCTTCTTGCAGTTGTACCGTACATAGAAATGATTAACAATCTACGTATTTTTCCTGCATTCTTCCGTTCGTACAGCAAACGACTTACTGTTCGAAAGAACCCAGTCCAACCGAACGTCTTCTGCTAGTTGGGATCAGGGTGATTCAGAACTTTGTACCTGAATAGTTCTGTGAGGAGAAACAATAATTATCGGTTGTCCAGGCCGACAGAAGGATTTATTTGCAGTATCCAACTTGGGC